GTTAATTTTTATATTACTTGCATGTTAAAAATGGTAAATTTTGTATATAATGGGTTAAATAAAATGTATTACAATTAGTGTTTCTTCTTTTCACTTTTTTGGGGAGAATTTTATTTATATATTTTAATTTTTGGCTGTGCTGAGTCTTCATTGCCCCTTGTGGGCTTTCTCTAGTTATAGCAAGGGGGTAGGGACTGCTTTCTCGTTGTGGTGCCCAGGCTTCTTGCTGTCGTGGCTTCTTTTGCTGTGGAGCACTGGCCCTAGGTCTGAGGGCTCAGCAGTTGTGGTTCATGGGCTTACTTGTCCTGTGGCATGAGGGATCTTCCAGGACGAGGGATCAAACCCGTGTCCCCTGCATTGGCAGGAGGATTCTTAACCACTGGACCACCAGGAATATCAATCTTTTCACTTTTTTAAGGTGGCTATCATAAAACTTTAAATTACATACATGGCTCACCTTATATTCCCATTAGAGAGAACTGTATTAGGGCATGTTTACATGCTAACAGAATGAACGGGGGAGAAGCAGAGATTGATAAAATAGAAAGAGAAAGCAGAAGAGGGAAGTCATAAATAAGCTTCAAGAGATAAGGAGAAGTGGGGAAACAACCATAGATTGATGGACAGAGAGAAAAACAGATGTACACATGCAAATATTTCTCATATCCTTTAAAAAGAAACTGTGTGCATGTGTACTCAGTCACATCCAACTCTTTGGAACCCCATGGACTGTAGCCCACCAGGCTCCTCCATCCATAGGATTCTCCAGGCAAGAATACTGGAGTGGGTTGCCATTTATTTCCTTCTCCAGTAAACAGAGGCTATCCAATCTTTTTAAAAGGCCATGAAGCATTAATAAACATTTACCAAGGTCTAAGCTGCAAATAAAATCTCAATATGTTTCCAAAGGTACAGTTCATATTGCAAGAAAATAAGAAATTCACAAGAAAAAGGCAGCAAACTCAATCTAACCCATGAACCATATAAAACAGTTTTCTAGATAACTCTTGGGTTAAAGCAGAAGTCAAAAGTAAAATACAGAATGTTTAGAAATTAAAAAAAAAAACACTATATTTCAAAATTCATTTGATCCCACCAAAGCCTTAACTGATGGAAACATTCAGAATTTTTAGTGATCTTCTTAACATACTGAAGACAAACTAAATGACTTAAGCATTCAAATCAGGAAACTAATAAAAGAACACAGAAGAAATATAAAGAAGAACTAACAAAAAGATCTTAATGGCCCAGATAACCACAATGGTGTGACCACTCACCTAGAACCAGAAATCCTGGAGTGCCACCTGAAGTCAAGTGTGCCTTAGGAAGCATCATCATGATCAAAGGTAGTGGAGGTGATGGAATCTCAGTGGAGCAATTTTAAATCCTAAAAGATGAAGCTGTTAAAGTGCTGAACTAAACACACCAACACATCTGAAAAACTCAGCAGTGGACAAAGGACTGGAAAAGGTCAGTTTTCATTCCAATCTCAAAGAAAGGTGATGCCAAAGAATGTTCAACCGCACAATTGCACTCATCTCACACGCTAACAAAGTAATGCTCAAAATTCTCCAATCTAGGCTTTAGCAATACAAGAACTGAGAACTTCAAGATGTACGGTCGAAAAGGCAGAGGAACCAGAGATCAACTTGCCAACATCCACTGGACCACAGAAAAAGCAAGGGAATTTCAGGAAAACATCTACTTCTGCTTCATTGACTACACTAAAGTCTTTGACTGTGTGGATCACAACAAATTGTGGAAAATTCTTAGAGATGAGAATACCACACCACCTTACCTGCCTCCAGAAAAACCTGTGTGCAGGTCAAGAAGCACCAGTTAGAACCAGAAATGGAACAATGGGCTGGTTACAAATTGGGAAAGGAGTATGTCAAATCTGTATATCGTCACCCTGCTTATTTAACTTATATGCAGAGTACATCAGGGCTTCCCTGATAGCTCAGTTGGTAAAGAATGTGCCTGCAATGCAGGAGACCCCAGTTCGATTCCTGGGTCGAAAGATCCATTGGAGAAGAGATAGGCTACCCAATCCAGTATTCTTGGGGTCCCTTGTGGCTCAGCTGGTAAAGAATCTGCCTGCAATGCGGGAGACCTGGGTTTGATTCCTGGGTTGGGAAGATCCCCTGGAGAAGGGAAAGGCTACCCACTCCAGTATTCTGGTCTGGAGAATACCATGGACTGTATAGTCCAGGGTGTCACAAAGAGTCCATCATGAGAAATGCCGGGCTGGATGAAGCACAAGCTGGAATCAAGACTGCTGGGAGAAATATCAATAAACTCAGATATGCAGATGACACCACCCTTATGGCAGAAAGTAAAGAGAAACTAAAGAGCCTCTTGATGAAAGTGAAAGAGGAGAGTGAAAAAGCTGGCTTAAAACTTAACATTCAAAAAACGAAGATCATGGCATCTGGTCCCATCACTTCATGGCAAATAGATAGGGAAACAACAGAAACAGTGACAGATTTTATTTTCTTGGGCTCCAAAATCACTGCCGATGGTGACTGCAGCCATGAAATTAAGACACTTGTTCCTTGGAAGAAAAGCTATAACCAACCTAGACAGCATATTAAAAAGCAGAAACATTACCTTGCTGTCAAAGGTCCATATAGTCAAAGCTATGGTTTTTCCAGTAGTCATGTATGGATGTGAGAATTGGACCATAAAGAAGGCTGAGCACTGAAGAACTGATGTTTTTGAACTGTGGTATTGGAGAAGACTATTGAGAGTCCCTTAGACAACAAGGAGATCAAACCAGTCAATCCTAAAGGAAATCAATCCTGAATATTCATTGGAAGGACTAATGCTGAAGTTGAAGCTTCAGTGCTTTGGCCAACTGATGCAAAGAGCCAACTCCTTAGAAACCCTGATGCTGGGAAAGATTGAAGGCAGGAGGAGAAGGGGACGACAGAGGATGAGACAGTTGGATGGCATCACTGATTCAATGACATGAGTTTGAGCAAGCTCTGGGAGATGATAAAGGACAGGGAAGCCTGGCATGCTGCAGTCCATGGGGTCACAAAGAGTCAGACATGACTGAGTGACTGAAGAACAATAAAAGAACATCAAAATAAACCAACAGAGAATAGGGGAACTAAGTAAAAGTAGAAATTAATGAACTAGAAATCAAAGGAAAACTGCATAAACCTGATAAAACAGTAATTTTGTTTTTGTTTTGTTGTTAAATACTACAACATAAAAACCATTAGTTAGCAGAACCAAGAAAAAAGGAAGAGGAAATAAAAATATGTACAGTGAGAAAGTGAATATAACCAAAAATGGACTAAAATTATAAAATTTCCAACATATGCCAATAAATTAGAAAATCTACATAAAATAGACATATTTTAGAAAGATACAAATAACTAATATTGACTCTTTAAGAGTGAAAATTAGTCTAATAATTAGAGAAGAACTTAGAAATGTAGCAAAAGTTCTAACTTCAAAAAAGTACTAGTCGAGACTGTTTTACCAGAGAGTCCAATATATTTTAAAGGACAGATAATTCCTGAGTTATTTAAATCATTCAGATAATAAAAACTATGACAAGATTCCCAATTTACTTTTTTTAAGAAGTTTATCCTGACTCTAAAAAGTAACTATGTGGACATCCCTGGTGGCAGAGTGGGTAAGAATCTGCCTGCCAATGCAGGGGACATGGTTCAATCCCTGGTCTAGGATGATTCCACATGCCTTGGAGCTACTAAGCCCGCACACTAGAGCCCAAGAGCTGCAACTACTGAGCCTGTATGGTGCAACCACTGAAACCCATGGGCCCGGAGCCTATGCTTGGCAACAAGAGAAGCCACCACAGTGAGAAGCCCGTGCACCCTAATGAAGAGTAGCCCCCACTCACCATAACTAGAGAAAGCCCTTGCACAGCAATGAAGACACGGTGCAACCAAACAAATAATAAAAAATAATAAATAAAAACTAACAATGCTAGCAAAAATAAAATAAATCTTGGTCATTTTCACCAAGGAATATAAATTTTAAAATCCAACATAAAATAATAACAAATCTAATTTACCACACTATAGGATACTTTTGACAGCAACCAACAGAAACCGTGATTCAAATTATTTTTATTTTTTTTTTTTTCCTTTAGCCACAGACTTTATTGTTTGAATATTTTCAACTATGACTTTTTTTTGGACAGACTTTAATTTTACAAAACCCTACATTGCATGTTGCTGGGTCACTTAACTCTCCCTTTGATACCACATTTCCATGAAGATGTATTTCTCCCAATCACAAACTGCCTGACTGTGTGTTACAGGATTCTTTTAGGGGTTCCCCCTCATTTTTTTTTTTTTTTCTGACATGAAATCTAGCTGTAGCTTCACTATGATTTTAGGATTGCTGCATCCTCAGTGTGAGAATTTAATGTTGACTGAGAAGTGAAAAGTGATCCCTGAAGTCTTCCCTTCTGTCATAACACTGAGTGTGTTCTATAGACTGAGCATGTGTGGACCAGAGGGGTTGCTCTATGGAGAAAGAATTTCTCATAACTTTCCATGAAATAACTTCTTTAAGATGACTTATTTAAAAGTATGATTTGGTGTTTTCTCAGCATACTTTGGTATCTTTCAAGAGTATTCATCTTTGTTCTTGTATTTATTTTTTTCTCAAGTTTTCTTGTGCACATCAAACCTGGTGATCAACTCAACAGTTGTCAATGGTTATCACAGTTTTAGTGGTTCTCTCCATGGAGTTGGTTCATACTGATCAATAATTATCAAACAAGTAGTAGGGGTTGCTTATCCTCTGCTCATGTCCTCTAAGAGCTTTAGAGTTGGGGGCTGTTGCTGGAAACACCCATATTGTGTTTGTAGAGTGAGTTCTGTTAAGTTACACGAGGTCAGGCTAATGACTAAAGTCACAGAGATAACACACATGTGGATCCACATCCACAGGTAGTGCCTGTCTGGACTGCACAGCACAATGCCTGAAGGAACCTCCATATTGATTATGTCACCTCAGGTCAGAACGTCTACTGAGGGTCCTACTGGTTTTCTCTTGTGCTGGGTTCCCTCGTGTCGTCTAAGGGAAGAGGCACGAGTGAAGTGTTCTCCACAGAGCTGACATTCATAGGGCTTCTCTCCACTGTGGGTTCTCTCATGTTCCCTCAGCTTAGCATATTTATTGAAGGCCTTCCTACACACAGAGCATACATGTGGTTTCTCTCTAATGTGGATCCTTTTGTGCACATGAAGCCCTGAACTATGAGTAAAGGCCTTCCCACACTCAAGACATACATGTGGCTTCTCTTCAGTGTGGACTTTCTTATGTGAACTAAGGCCAGAGCTTTGAAGAAAGGCTTTGCCACACTGATGACATTCATATCTCTTCTCTCCTGTGTGAGTTCTCTCATGTTGTTTCAAGGAGGAATTTTGATTGAAGACTTTCCCACACAGATGACATTTGAATGGTTTCTCTCCTGTGTGAATCATGCTGTGTCTCCTGAGGCTAGCACATCTACTAAAGGCTTTTCCACACTGATGACATTCATAGGGCTTCTCTCCTGTGTGAGTTTTCTCATGTACTTTCAGGGAGAATCTTTGATTGAAGACTTTCCCACACAGTTGACATTTGAATGGTTTCTCTCCAGTGTGAATCATCTTATGTCTGCTAAGGCTAGAGCACCTATTAAAAACTTTCCCACACAGAGCACATTCACATGACTTACGTCTAGTGTGACTGTGACCCTGTCCATCGAGGAATGACCCTTGACTAAGTGATTTTCCATGCTGTTTGCTGACATTATGTTTCCTTCCGAAGGGAACTATTGTATATTGAAGTGAAGATGTAGGAGTAACTTCCTCTCTCAAATCAGCATATCCAGCAGGATCCCCTTGTGGGTGAGAAACCTGCATCGTCCTGGTTGGGGATGTGTGCTTCCAGTAGACACTTTGCATTAATATCATTTCTTGTTGTCTAAAGAGACTTTCACCGCCTGGACTCTGACCTTGGAGGTCTGCTGCTTCAGTCCACAACTCTTTCCCTTGTTCCAGCTGGAAAATCACATCTGATTTGCTGATCGGATAGCCTAGAGAGACCAGGTGGGTGATAGTTTCCATCATCACATTTCGGAACAGGTTTTTCTGAGACTTGTCCAGCAGGCTCCACTCTTCCTGGGTGAAGTCGACGGCTACATCTTCAAACGTCACCGATTCCAGGGGCTCCATGCTCAACAGCTCAGTCACCGGGAGCCTTTCTCGGGATCTCACTCACAGCCGATCCAAGCACTAGGCAGGCCAATCAAAATCCTAAACTGGAGGAACGGGTGAAGCCAAATGGATTCTGAGGATTCCATAGTAAGCAGCTGGTTCCTCTTCCTCCAACTTCCTAAACGGTCCAGCTTCTTCTCTGAACAAATGCCTCAAAAACTATGTGGACATCCCTGGTGGCAGAGTGGGTAAGAATCTGCCTGCCAATGCAGGGGACATGGTTCAATCCCTGGTCTAGGATGATTCCACATGCCTTGGAGCTACTAAGCCCGCACACTAGAGCCCAAGAGCTGCAACTACTGAGCCTGTATGGTGCAACCACTGAAACCCATGGGCCCGGAGCCTATGCTTGGCAACAAGAGAAGCCACCACAGTGAGAAGCCCGTGCACCCTAATGAAGAGTAGCCCCCACTCACCATAACTAGAGAAAGCCCTTGCACAGCAATGAAGACACGGTGCAACCAAACAAATAATAAAAAATAATAAATAAAAACTAACAATGCTAGCAAAAATAAAATAAATCTTGGTCATTTTCACCAAGGAATATAAATTTTAAAATCCAACATAAAATAATAACAAATCTAATTTACCACACTATAGGATACTTTTGACAGCAACCAACAGAAACCGTGATTCAAATTATTTTTAACCACATGAGTATTTCTTGACTCAGCCGGAAGTCTAGAGGTAGAGGAAGTTTTAGGACAGGCTGTAGTTCAATAATGTTATTAAGAATCCAGATTTTTTTCCACGTCTCTGCTGTGCCATTCCTGGTGTTAGGTCATTGCTAGTCTTGTAGAAATATGACAGCAATATTTCCAAGCATCCAGGCACAATTCTCAGAGGCAGAAGAAAAAATAACTCCCTTTGATTTTCACTTCAGAGAAAGGACATTGTTTCCTTTCTCTGAAAGGAGAGACAGAAGCTCTCCTAGCAGATGTCATGTCTCATTAGAAAGAGCTAGATCAAATGTCTATTCCTGGGCCAATTCCAATAAATGACAAGGTATTGTTTTAGCCTGTAGCATCAGAATCTCCTGGAAGATTTATTTAAACATATATCACAGGGTCCCATCCCCAGTTTCTGATTCAGTAGGTCTGGCATGGAGCCATGTATTTCTTGTAAGTCCCCAGGTAATACTGATATTGATTATCTTGGACCAATTAGGATTATCTCTGGAGCTGAAGGTGAGGTCAGCCTCCCTGAGACATCTGGCTGCCCTGAGGATCGATCAGTCAATTCAGTTCAGTTGCTCAGTCGTATCTCTTTGCGACCGCATGAATCGCAACACGCCAGGCCTCCCTGTCCATCACCAACTCCTGGAGTTTACTCAAACTCATGTCCATCGAGTCGGTGATGCCATCCAGCCATCTCATCCTCTGTCGGCCCCTTATCCTCCTGCTCCCAATCCCTCCCAGCATCAGGGTCTTTTCCAATGAGTCAATTCTTCCCATGAGGTGGCCAAAGTACTGGAGTTTCAGCTTCAACATCAGTCCTTCCAATGAACACACAGGACTGATCTCCTTCAGGATGGACTGGTTGGATCTCTTTGCAGTTCGAGGGACTCTCAACAGTCTTCTCCAACACCATAGTTCAAAAGCATCAATTCTTTGGCGCTCAGCTTTCTTCACAGTCCAACTGTCACATCCATACATGACCACTGGAAAAACCATAGCCTTGACCAGACGGACCTTTGTTGGCAAAGTAATGTCTCTGCTTTTTAATATGGTGTCTAAGTTGGTCATAACTTTCCTTCCAAGGGGTAAACGTCTTTTAATTTCATGGCTGCAGTCACCATCTACAGTGATTCTGGAGCCCAGAAAAATAGTCTGACACTGTTTCCACTGTCTCCCATCTATTTCCCATGAGGTGATGGAATGAGATGCCATGATCTTAGTTTTCTGAATGTTGAGCTTTAAGCCAACTTTTTCACTCTCCTCTTTCACTTTCATCAAGAGGCTCTTTAGTTCCTCTTCACTTTCTGCCATAAGGGTGGTGTCATCTGCATATCTGAGGTTATTGATATTTCTCCCAGCAATCTTGATTCCAGCTTGTGCTCCCTCCAGCCCACCGTTTCTCTTTTTTTTTTTTTTTAATTTATTTATTTATTTATTTTTTATCACAACCATAGTGTATCTTTTTTTTTTTTTTTTACATGTATTCCCCATCCCGGTCCCCCCTCCCACCTCCCTCTCCACCCAATCCCTCTGGGTCTTCCCAGTGCACCAGGCCCGAGCACTTGTCTCATGCACCCAACCTGGGCTGGTGAACTGTTTCACCCTAGATAATATACGTGTTTCAATGCTGTTCTCTTGAAACATCCCACCCTCGCCTTCTCCCAGAGTCCACAAGTCTGTTCTATACATAGGAGTCTCTTTTTCTGTTTTGCACATAGGGTTATCGTTACCATCTTTCTAAATTCCATATATATGTGTTAGTATACTGTAATGGTCTTTATCTTTCAGGCTTACTTCGCTCTGTATAATGGGCTCCAGTTTCATCCATCTCATTAGAACTGATTCAAATGAATTCTTTTTAATGGCTGAGTAATATTCCATGGTGTATATGTACCACAGCTTCCTCATCCATTCATCTGCTGATGGGCATCTAGGTTGCTTCCATGTCCTGGCTATTATAAACAGTGCTGCAATGAACATTGGGGTACACGTGTCTCTTTCAGATCTGGTTTCCTCGGTGTGTATGCCCAGAAGTGGGATTGCTGCAGCCCACCGTTTCTCATGATGTACTCTGCATAGAAGTTAAGTAAGCAGGGTGGCAATGTACAGCCTTGACGTACTCCTTTCCCTATTGGGAACCAGTCTGTTGTTCCATGTCCAGTTCTAACAGTTGCTTCCTGACTTGCATACAGATTTCTCAAGAGGCAGGTCAGGTGGTCTGGTATTCCCATCTCTTTCAGAATTTTCCACAGTTTATTGTGATCCACACATGAGGATGGATAGATACCTGCTTAGAAGCATGACTTATGGAGCATTTTCAACAAGAAGCAATAAATTTGGACAGAAATGGCAGAACAGAGGAAAGTGGTTTTAGGCTTCCAAGAGTGGCATGCCAAGGGAAGGTAAATATATGTGAGGAAACTAATGGGGTAAAGTTTGCTTGCAGATTTCTCTGGTGCCTACTCTGAGTTGATAAGAGTCTGTCTCCAGAAAAGGAGAATTTATATATTGCCTTTACGAAGAAAGGAGCAGCTTTATCTGGCTTTGATGCCTCTGAATTGCCTTCAGCTCAAATAATTTTCAAGTCAAAGAAGCATATTTTGAGGTGACATTCTGATTTTCTTCCATTTCCCATTTGAAACTTTATCCTCAGGAAGTTTCAAGTATTAAGGCTGAGTTTGTAGCTGCAGAAAGACTTGAGTTAGATATTGTGAGATAAGAGATCAAGTCAAAGGGTAAAGAAAACATAAATTGGAAAAAGCAGAAAAGAACACATCTAGTTACAATGTCCCATATCTTATTTCAGTCTCTTAGTCTTGGGAATAGGTCAGTCCAGTTAAACAACTGTGTTTCATCTAAGGAGGCAGTGTTGCAGGTTTCCACCTAAACATGGCCTCTGTGTATGGTACAAGCAATCAGGTATTGAATAAAAGGTATTTCTATAGAAATTTTAAAAACAAAGTTTAATGATAGGAGAAAACTTACAAACCATTTTTTTAAGTCTGGGGACAAGGCAGTAGAGAATATATCTAGATATAGTTTCTTTCAATGGTAAAGTAAGGATGGCAGTGATAATTTTTGATGAATTTCCTGGTTTGCAGTTTGAATGCCTGTGTTGGTGTTGGATGTTCTGGTAAACTTTCTGAGTGACCCACATAGCAGCAGGCATGAAGGATGTCCATACATCACATCTGTTGTAGTGATTTCTCTGAAGTTTATAGCCAATTAATCTAGATTGCAGTGTTTTGGGAAAAGAGCAGTGGTAGTTCTTAGTGATTCCAAGTCAGAAAGTTGGGAGAAAAAATGAAAATAATAATTTGGAGAGTTGTAGCCAGGTGTTGGAGGAAACCTGAAGAATTCAGGAACCAGTACCGTTTACAGTTAGGGACTAAAATCTCAAAGACAATGAACAGGGCTAGAATATAATATCCAAACAGATGTGCCACTTTTTTATGGCACTGATAATTTTTCTGTCTAAAGTAAGACAAATATGTTTGGAAAAATAAGTCTAATGTCACTAGATTTGGCCTGATTATACAAGTGCAGCAAGACTGACCAAGGGTCTTCTGAGTTTTCTCTGCTGGAACTTTTCATAAGGAATCTCAGATTGGACTTTTAAAAGCTTCTCAAGGCTAGTAAGCCAAGTCAAAGAGTCATCACAAGACTTTTTCTACAACACCTACTGATTTGGGTGAATTCCTCTCTTCCTAAGGTCCCCCAAATATTCTGAGGTTCCTGGCCTACCAGGTAGTGACCTCCCTCACTCACTGTGACGTGGAAACCCTATAAGCAAGATACAAGTTGGATTTTCAAAGTGATCTTTTCTGGCTTTTGAAAGTCAACCTTAATTCCTTAGAGCTTTCTGGTCAGATCTGAGTCTATGTATATCCTTCTCAAACATGACATTCCAGTCAAAGTCTTGGTAATGAGAGAGCTTAATCTTAGGTAGGTTGATAAGGAGACCAGGGCCCTTGAGGAGGATGAAGGAACAAACTTTTTTTTCTACACTGCTTTGTCTCAGTCACATAAGACATTTTTTCTTAAACTCTGAGTTGTTATGACAACAATCTATTTTGCTTAAGATTAACTCTTTAAGCCCAGAGCTAGTGATTAGACAACAAAATAACTCATCATGCACAAGGGTATGTTTTTCCTTAAGTTCTGTACTAATGATTCTATTCTATTCCACTTGAGCTATTTCAAATCCTGAAAGAGGATGCTGTGAAAGTGCTGCACTCAATATGCCAGCAAATTTGGAAAACTCAGTAATGGCCACAGGAC